TATAGAAGCAGAGTTATTTTGGCATTTCATGCATTATGTTTTTTGTGCAAATCTCTCTCTTCTTTGTTAAACACCATTTTGAGTCTTTTAGGGTTTCAATCTGGGTTGAGTGAATCTTGTAACTTGTTGACTGAGTGACTAGGTCAGGTCATTCTGGGTGTATTGTATACGCTGTTTATAGGGATTCGAAAGGTGTAATCTCTAGGGTGAGTTACGGGTTGAAGAAGGGGTTTTTGAGGGATTTGTGTTGCTGTGTGTAATCTGTAATCTTGACAGTGATTTAGTGCAGCGAGCTCGTGTGATTCCCGAGTTCAACATGGACGTAGTTTGCTCAAATATAGAGCAAGTGAACCACGGTAAATTTGGTTGTTCTTGTGTGTGTTTTGTGTTTCTTGTTTTTGATCTTTTGTTACTTGGTTGATTCTTTCTGTGAGTGGTTATAACAGAAACAAATTAAAAGTCATCAGCTTGGACATAATTTATTCAGTGCTCATTTAAGGGCATCAATATTGTCTGTTTGTGCTCATAAAATATGTCGAATGAACATATATATATGTGAAAAGACCTCGTAGTAATTGTAAAGAATAATTATACATTTAAAGAGATTATTATACTAACCCAGATGACTGCTTTGATGTTGTTGTCAGTTAGGGAAAATTCAAGGTCACCCTCCCGCTGGACTCTCAAAAGAACATCAACTAAATCTTCCTTTACTTCTCTTTCGCCGATTTTTGTCCTCTCCTTCTCTTTATGATCATTCAGGATATTTTCAAGTATTCCATCACTCTTCTGATGGAGCTTCTCAAGCTTCAGATCCGTTCCACTAATCATCTGAATTGCTTTAACAGAAGGGTAGAAATCAACAATGGAGAAACCTGCAGCTGCCTCTATGACTTCCAGTACGCATGATAGGAAAGCTTCTTCATCTTTGCATCTTTCTCTGAAAGCCAACCTGACTATTACGCCATATGTGAACCTGACAATTTCATCACTAAGATTGATTACTAATCCTTCATTAGCCTGTATGGCTTTAATGAGATTTGAGACCTCCTCTTTCCCTGACTGATCGCAGTGATTGGACTCGTCTTGCACTTAATAGCTCTATGGTTGCAATTTTTCGGAGCTGTCTCCAATAATTTCCATATGGTGCAAAAGCAATATCAGTATGGTCATAACTCACCAACTTCATGGAAACCAGAAAGGGCCGGTCTGCAAAGTTGAGGTCATGGGTTTTCAAAACTTCTCGGGCAATCTCTGCAGAAGAAACAACGACGGTTGAAACTTCACCAAGCTGGAGGTGCATCAAAGGTCCATGTTTCTTGGCCAAGTCTCTCAGGCGACGATGGGGTTGTGAACCGATCAGCTGGTGCAAGTTTCCAATTAGTGGTAGTTTCCAGGGCCCTGGGGGCATCTTTGAGCTTGAACTCCTGGATTTGTGTCCCTTTATTATTTTGAATGCCATGAAAGAGAACAAGAGCAAGGAGATGATAAGGTTGAAAGAAGGAATATGAAACTCCATGGAGAAGAATCAAGTTCCAAACTTTTTCCTCTGTTGACTGTTAAGATGATGAACTAAAAGGGCCAATACTGCTATCCTTATTTAGAAATGTTTTCTCCTAATAGTAACTATAATAAAGTTAATAAAAATCCACCAATTGTGATGTTAGCTTACATGGTAAAATGCACATGACACACTTGATTAGTTTTAGGTGACAATTAATTTGTCTCGACACTCTAAAGATGGACAAGATGGACTCTTTGGTTGGCAAGTGTTTTTCACTTAAAATATATCTTTTGTGAGTTCGAGTTCAACTAAATAGATATTGTCTATCTTATATCAATTGTCAAATTTCAAGTTCAATCCAATAAACTTGGTTTTGATACCAATGGTCAAATCCCAAGTTCAACCTAGTAAACTTCTCCATTTTGATACCAATGGTCAAATCCCAAGTTTAACTTAGTAAACTTCTCTCTTATATCAATTGTCAAATCTCAAATTCAGTAGAGTAGATATTGTCCACTTTGGCCTATATGAAATTTATTTTGAGTTTCACTTAAATAAATATCCTTCATTCAAAATGAGTTTGCTTAGTTATATATAGGGACCAAATATTGTGATTAGAATCTTAGACTTATCCACTCATAATATAGGATGTACCACTTATGGTGTTAGAATTTAGCTATCGGATTTTATTACTGTGGCAAAGATTTGAATCTAAATATTTGCATTCAGATTAGTACATGGTAGACACGTATCGTTTTACCAAGTTGTAATTAGATAATTAATTATTGGAACCAAGTTGTAATTAGATAATTAATTATTGGAACGTAAATACTTTTTGGTAATTGAAGAAGAAAAGAGGATTTAAGTTTTAGGTAAATTTCTATTTTAGGAATTTGTAACTGAGAATATTTGTTTTCCTTTATTTTGAGTTGTAATAGGAAAGAAAAATTGGTTTAGGATTTTATTTAGAGTTAAAATAGGAGAATGAATTAAAGAAAAGGAGTTTTATTAGGATTAAAAATATGAATCATAGTAGAAAAAGAATGTCGTATTCTACTTATAAATATAGGGGTTAGAACCAATTCAAAGTTATGAGAGAGAAAAGTAAAAAAAGAGAGAATGTGAGGATATAAAGAGTTTTAATGTAAGGGTACCATGAGCATCGAAAAAATACCACAGGGTATTAAAAACTCTAAAATAGGATGTTTACCTATGTAAGGGTACTAAGTTGATGGTACAATGAACACTTCTATCATATTTGTAGAATTATAATAGATCTCTCATATTTATGGATATAGATAAGTTATGTCGAACCACATAAAATATTTCATTATTATATGATTGATATTCCTTGTATATTGTTGTTATTCTTTATTTTATTTTTTATTCTATCGATTTTTAACATGACATCAAAGCAAATTCTGATTTATAATATTAATGACAAACAATAAAATCTTAAATGAGTGGAATGCACCACATCATGTCCATAAACACATCTATCCATTAAACACTTGTTATCTAGATGTTAGACAGACATACAAATGTCATAGCTAGCATAGCTTTCCTATGCAAGTTTTCTCTCTCCAACTGCAAGCGGCTCTGCTTTATTTTGTTTTTATCTGGGCGACTGGTTGGTTTTTTAGCAACCGATTACTATTATTACACGAGTCTTGTCAGTTCTTTGACAATTATTGGTAAGTGTAACATATTTCCTTGCCGTAGTGCATATTATCTGGTGGAGTTCGTGAAAAGCATAGAGAGAGATGTTCGTATTTTTGTCTTTGACACAATGAGTTAGCGTAAAAATAAGGTTAGTATACGATTATATCTTTAGGATTGATAAATAAGTCTCAATCACATAAACTTAGTTCATCAAATTTGAAAGAAAATCTAAAAATTATTTTATATCTTAAAAAAACGAATAATATGTTTATATAGGATAGAGAACATCCATTCCTAACAAGACTCCTAATCAACAAAAAAATAAAATCCAAATTAATTAAAAAAAGAAATCCTAACTGCTGACTAATTATAAAATAAGAAAAATGTGCAGAAAATTTAAACGGCCCCGAAACACGAAAACAATGGATTTTCAACCTAAAAACGACCTCATATCTTATGGATCCCGTAACTCCTCTCAAATAAAAAAATTATGACTGTTTTAAGTTGGTATACCAGCGTTTGGACATCTGACGTGCAATGTCTTCTGAAATTTATCTACTAAACATTCTACGTCAGTGTTACTAAAGAAAACTTGTATCTTATCTCTTGCCAAAAGATTGAGGGATCTATAACGTTTTTGCCGTATATAGTGGTGGATGATTTTGTGGAAAGCACTGGACTAGGCGCACAGAAGAATCGGAGATTGATTATCTATGGAAATAGTTTACCTGTCGGTCTCACTGAGAATCATAGTTGCCAGTTTGAACTCTTGTTCAAGATGCTGCCAACACTTTCCTTCCTTTAAGAAAGCTTCACTTAACTTTTCTACTTTGAATGACTGTCTCTCTTTCAAATGATCACAATAGTAATTCTCGATCTCTAACCAATAGAAATATTGAGATTTTAAAATCTTATCCATACCTTACCCTCGAGCCTTATTTATTTTGGATAATTGATGCGTTTTCAGTATCATAAATCTAACCTTTTATATGGCTTACGTGTTGCAAAATTATAACTAATTGAATAACAAAATACAGTAATTACTACCATAAACTCCATTAGGTTCTCTAAGCCCCATTAAAAACAAGATATCTATTCTCAGTATATTTGATAATGATTCATGTGTCCAATTCACTGCTGACCAAATATAGGGCATTTCTTTGGGCCAACAGGATGTGGTTGGGTTATTGACTTGATGAGTAGTACTGCTAAAGTTATGTAAAGAAACCCGTGACTGCTGTCATTTTTCCTAAATAGAATTCTGTAGAATTATTGGGTTGGATTTTTGAACACTAGTTTTGCTTTTTATAAATTATTGCAGAACCAAGCTACATAATGATGTAGACTTTTGTCAGTAGAGACAGCAAGTTGGGACGTTTGTCCCACCAATTTGGATGTAGGATATATCTTTGATTCAAGATGTGAATTATATATTGTCCTATAAAAATTACTTTAGAGAGCTATGTCCAATTTCAGCCGTTGGAGAAGCAATCCATATTTTCAAAAGTTTTTATGACTTCTATCAAGTCTAATTAAGTTCAGTTTTCTCACTAGCTAGCAAGAAAGTGATGGCGGAATTCATAAAAACGTATAATTTAATTACAAAGATTACACCTTTTAAGTGTCACATCTTATATCACTAACGAAAGATAACATTCTTTAATCAAAGCCGTAAAACAGATATTTGTGAATTATTGAAGGCGGCTGTAAAGAATAAAATGATGAATATTGACTTGATTTAGGCCTGAATTATTGTAATTAAACCAGAATCTGCCTTATACCATTTCGCTAAAACAGTTAAAATATGTTTCCTATCTTCCATGGATTATAACAAGAGTCCAGGCAAAATTGATATGTAAAATATAACTTAATGTGAAAACAGGAAGAACAATATATGTACATATAGCTGTCTCAGTAGCTGACTTCTGTAACATTGATCGCTAGAAAACAAAGAAAATCCATCTGACATTATTCATGATCTTATGCAACATTAGGGGAAGAACAATAAGGAACAGGGATCAACAATAAGCTTTCTTTCCTAGCTACCGTCACACCAAAGGCCTCAGTCATGTCTAGATCTTCAGGATTCATCCCATTTGGGAGCTTCCAGTCAAAATGGTACAACATTTGGGCAAGGGGCAGCTCAATATTTGGTAGCGCAAACGTTATGCCTGGACATATTCTCCTCCCGGCACCAAATGGTATGTATTCAAAATTCAACCCTCTGAAATCAATTGAACTGTTAAGAAATCTCTCAGGATAAAATGTCTCAGGTTCACTCCAGTATCTGGGATCTCTTCCAATTGCCCACGCGTTAACTATGACTCTAGTCTTCACCGGTATCTCATATCCGTTAAGTTTACAACTCTCTCTGCTTTCTCTTGGAAGTAAAAGAGGTGCAGAAGGGTGCAGCCTCAGGGTTTCTTTGACTACTAATTTCAAGTACTTCAATTCATGAATTCCAGCTTCATCGACATTTCCTTTTCCATCAAAGACTCGTCTTACCTCAGCTTGTGCCTCTTTCATTACCCTTGGGTTTCTCAGCATTTCTGCCATTGCCCAGTCTACAGTTGTGGATGAAGTTTCACTGCCAGCACTAAAAATATCCTGAAAGCCAAATAATAATCATTGGTATAGATACAGTCTATTAAGCACATATTCATACATAAAATATATACTAACCCATATAACTGCTTTGATATTACTGTCACTTAAGGGAAATTCAAGTTCCCCATCACGCTGGATTCTCAAAAGAACATCAACTAAATCTTCCTTTTCTTCTCCTTGGCCAGTTTTTGAAGTCACCCTTCTCTCTTTATGCTCATTCAAGATTTCTTCAAGGATCTTATCACTCTTCCGATGAAGCTTTTCAAGCTTCATTCTCGTTCCACTAATCACCTGAAGTGCTTTAATCGAAGGGTACAAATCAGCAATGGAGAAACCTGCAGCTGCCTTTATGGCTTCCAGTACGCATGATATGAAACCTTCTTCATCTTTGCATTTGTTTCCAAAAGCTGCCCTGGCTGTCATGCCATAAGTAAATTTGAAAATTTTCTCACTAAGATTGAACACTGGTCCTGCACTAGAATGTATGGCTTTGATGAGATTTGAGACCTCCTCTTCCCTGATTGATCGCAGTGATTGGACTCGTTTTGCACTTAACAGTTTTATGGTTGCGATTTTTCGCAACTGTCTCCAATAATTTCCATATGGTGCAAGAGCAATATCAGTATAGTCATAACTTACCAACTTGGTAGAAATCAGAAAGGGTCTGTCAGCAAAGGTGATGTCATGGGTTTTCATAGCTTCTTGGGCAATCTCTGGAGAAGAAACAATAATGTTAGAAACTTCACCTAGCTGGAGGTGCATCAAGGGTCCATGTTTCTTGGCCAAGTCTCTGAGGCAGTGATGGGGTAGTGAACCAACTAGCTGGTGCAAGTTTCCTATCAGAGGTAGTTTCCTGGGCCCTGGAGGCATCTTTGAGCTTGAGTTGCAGGCTCTTGGTCCCTTTATTATTTTGATTGCCATGAACAAGAAAAGGATGAAGATAAACATCAGGGTGAAAGAGGGAAATTGAAGCTCCATGAAAATGAGGAAGACAAGCACCGAATTTGATGGAACACTCAAATGAAAATCACAGTTTTAATCGAGTGTAAAGTTTTACTACAATCATCTGAACATAATTAATTGTTTTTTTTGTTGACAAAATCGAGATATTCCTAGGACTTTTCTTATTACTAATTTAGGAAATAGGAATACAAAATCCATTTGCCTTTCTCTTATATGACATGACTCTTCACCTTCAGGTTTTGGATTTTTGTTGGATGACATAAGTTCAGCATCACACTAAATTTGTCTGATTACTAAATTTCCCTGTATGTGACCCGGATCAATTCTGATCGTAAATTTTTTCCTTTGATGGTGACTGCATCTGCTTACTTATTCTATAATCTATCACTCAAAGATTTGAATCTCCGTATGTACGTTCAGATTGGTTGATACTCTGCAATTGGGCAATAAGAAATAATGGTTGGTTGGTAAGTTTAGAGATGATTTACAGAAAAAGATCATGACCAAGTTCTAAAAATGGGTCTGAAAGTCATTTTCTTTTGACTTATTGGGGCAGCGAATATGATTAAGTTGACAAATTTTCGAGCTGATGAAGATTTTATCGATACCGTAGAAGTTAGAACCAGTACGATTTTGGATAATTAGTTACTTGCCGTCGTGAAATTGTGGCCTTCTATAAGGCATTCATTATCCCCTTGGGAAGTACTTCCAGTCTGATTGTTTACAGTGATTGCGCTAGAAACAGCTCAATATTAGCCCAGCCCAACATTATGCAGTGTATGCCAAAAGTTTGCCCGAGGACAGCAGTAAGCAAGGGGAGCCCGCCTTTATTGACTCATGACCAGTAGTAAACAAACTTTTGAGCAAACTAATTAACCAATAATAGCTTTCACATGCATTTGCCTTTTGTCTTATATGCGATATGACAATTGAGGTTTTGGATTTTGTTTGGTGACTTCAAGATCACTTGATCGGGGACCAATTTGAAGGTCTTATGGTCCATGGACTTCATCGAGTATTCTCACAATGTAAAACTTCACTAGGATTTTGTTGAGTGTTTTAGCGAATTAATTATTATGTTGACAAAGTTTCAAGTTTACTGAGATCTTATTGCTTTCACGTTTGTGGTGTTGGGTTGGCCTGAACTAGGCCCTCGATTGCCCGCTATAAGCGATGCCTAATCCCTTGGGAACTTCCGATGATCCAATCCAACTTTTACAATTAATAAAGGGAGTGAACGACTTTTTCCACCCAAATAATAATTTAATGACATTTTTCTACTTACAGTCTTTTAAGGTACCATTATACTATTGAATTTTATATTCTGTTTCCGATTCTTACATCGTTATGACTCCACATCACCACCATTCTCTTTCCTGATCATTACTCACAAAAACCTCTCAAACCTATTCTTGTTGACCTTGCCAATCATTAGCAATCGAGTAATTAGAGTTTGCACAACCATCCCTTCCAAGTTAAATTCCTATCAATTCCAACTATTAGAATCCAATTTTTTACCACCAAAAGACTCATTTGCCTCATTTCTTCAAAAGTCTCAACAGTTTGAACTGAATTTATTCTATATTTGTCTCTAGAATATAAATTTAAATAATAAAATAATATTTTAAAAGCTAATAGAGCTAGAGACATAGCTCAGTATTAGCAAGCGCATACGAAATGTGGAAGAAATGTGTTAATGTATGCCAAATCGATGCGAAAAACAGCAAACGGTGGACAGAAAATCAGGAGCTTAAGCTCCATAAAGGAGATTTGTCCTCGCTTTGTCTCACTAGCTTCCAATCAAACTGTTGCCCAAAAATGTTTTCCTTTTGGTGGATAGCCCACCTTTGTTGACTGATCAATAGTAAAACAAAAACTTTACCAAATTAAGTGGCGTTTCGTTGAACTTTTTACTAATTAAAAGAGTTTTTATATTGTCAAAAGTTTTTGTTTTTGTTTTTTGTTTTTTGTTTTTTTTTTTTTTCAGCGGTTATAAAAAAGTTAATTGAATGATAAAAATATTCAATACCCCTAACTTATAATCGAGATATATATAAGCAATAAAAGGACTTGTTTTCCATTATTATATTTACTAATTTAGCTAAACACCTCTCATAATAAAAGTTTAAAAATTAACTAAAGTACCGCAGTCAGCAACCACCACTAGCTACCGCCACTGCTTCAACGGTCACCAGCACTGGAACGACGCACGACCAGTCAGATCTGGCCAGTATGCACCGATCTGACTTTTTTCGGCCAGATCTACTATGGAACTAGCTAGAACCAACTAGATCTATGGCGATTTGGCCATTTCTAGTCAAATCCACGGTGGATTTGGTTAGAATTTGGTTAGAAAAGGCTAGATCGGTACACGCTCAGTCAGATCCTATCAATCATGTGTCTTTCTAGCGATTGTCGGCTATGTCCGGTGGTCGGCAATGGCTTGAGTGGGTGGGGGTGTAACAACTTTTCAGCATTTTATCCAACTCTGATATGATTTTAAAATATTATACCAAACACATTCTCAGAATCCTATCCTATTCAATTTAATTCAGCGCAACTCAACTTGAAATAGTTGTTCAAAATAACATATTTCAAATGATGTTCCAAACAAGCCCTTTATTATTTTTTTTGATAACAAATTTGTGTTGTTTAGTTGCAACTTAGAAAAGCTTATGATGATTAAATAAGTTGTTTTTCCTCTGTTTAGAGAAGTCCATAATTTCAAGGTTTTAAAACCCGGCCAGTGGTGCCAGTCCCAAGTTGATAGATTGAACTGGTTTGACCGGCGGGTCAAACCGGTGACGTCAACATGTAAAATAGTTTGAAATCCAACAAAAACACCCCTAAAATTTTATGAGTCTCTTTAGGTTTGAAATCCTGCAAAAACACCCCAAATTACACTGTCGACATCAACAACCCAGGCCAAATAGGGCCCGTCTCCTAAGCATAATTAATTAATAGACATTAATAATTTTTAGAGCATGACATAACTTGAAACTAATTTATGTAAAACTGAAAAACTGAAAGAGAGAAATTGAAAAATGCGTGAACTTTTCTCTTATTAACTTCACAGAGAGATACATTTGTTTATATACAAAGAGAGAGAGAAGACTGACGCTGAGAGTAAACCCAGCTCAGTTATAAACTAAAGAGTAAAGTTTTTCTTCTCAAAACGACGCCGTTCTTTCTTTTGTGGAGTTGCAGTTTTACGAAACTGCCTTCTTTTCAGTCTTTAGCACTAATGAATTGAGGGGCATTATTGACCATGAAGACATAGTCTGAGAGCCTTTTATTTATCAGACAGGCTTATTACAGACTATCTTTTTCTATGACATTCTCGAGAAACTTTCGGGACTTGGTCGATCGATCTTCATTATTTTTCTATTCAACAGACATAGGATTATAAGCAACAGGAATCAAAATCAGATCTTCTTTTCTTCTTATAGACATGCCCATTGCCTCAGTCATGTCCAGGTCTTCAGTCTTCATTCCATCCGGAAGTTTCCAATCAAAATGGTACAACAATTGTGCCAATGGCAGGTGAAGATTTGCTAGTGCAAAAGTTATGCCTGGACACATCCTCCTTCCTCCGCCAAATGGGAGAAACTCAAAATCTGTCCCTCTGAAATCTACAGAATTGTTGAGAAATCTCTCAGGGTAAAATTTCTCAGGATCGCTCCAGTACCTGGGATCTCTTGCAATTGCCCATGCGTTGATAATCACTCTAGTCTTTTCAGGTATCTTGTACCCATTAATCTCACAAGTCTCCTTGCTTTCTCTTGGAACTAAAAGAGGTGCTGGAGGATGTAGCCTCAGGGTTTCTTTGACAACTAAATGTAAATATTTTAACTCATGAACATCTCTTTCATCAACATTTCCTTTCCTTTTAAACACCCGTCTTACCTCAGCTTGTGCCTCTTTCATCACCCTTGGGTTTTTCATCATTTCTGTCATTGCCCACGTTATCGTTGCTGATGATGACTCACTCCCACCACTGAAAACATCCTGAAAAACGATTCATAATCAATATTAGTAAAGTAGCTCCATGTACTCATTGTAAATCAGAAAGTAACCACATACTTACCCAGATAACTCCTTTGATGTTGTTGTCAGTTATTGGAAATTCAAGGTCACTATCCTGCTGGATTTTCAATAGAATATCAACTAGATCTTCTCCTGCTTCTGCTTGGCCAACTTTTGTTGTCAATTTCTTTCTCTCTTTATGCTCATTCAGGATCTTCTGTAGTATCATATCTGTTTCTCGTTGCAGCTTCTCAACTTTAGGCCTAATTCCAGTGATAAATTGAAGTGCTTTAATCGAAGGGTAATAATCAGCTAGAGCAAAACCTGATATCAGCTTTGAAGTTTCTGGCATTATCGCTATGAATTTTTCCTGGTCCTTGCTTTTCTTACCGAAGGCGGCCCTGGCTGTGATGCCATATATCAATGAGAAAATTTTTACTGTAAGATTGATCGGCGATCCTTCATGTGAAGATAATGATTTGATGAGATTTAACACCTCTTCTTCCCTAATCCATCTGAATGATTGGACACGGCTTAAACTTAAGAGCTCCATAGTGCAAATTTTTCGTAGTTGTCTCCAATAATTGCCATAAGGTGCAAAGGCGATATCTTTACAGCCATAACTCAGGATTTTGATAGCAAGAACAATAGACCTGTAAGAGAAATTGACGTCATGGGTTTTCAGAGCCTCCCTGGCCATTTCTGGAGAAGAAATGATGACAGATGAAACTTCACCAAGCTGTAAGTGCATCAACGGTCCATATTTCTTGGCTAACATGGTCAAGGAGTGATGAGGTTGTGAGCCAATTAGCTGGTGCATGTTTCCTATGAGGGGTAGTTTCCATGGCCCCGGAGGCTTCTTCGAGGTTGGCGTTTCAGGTTCTGCTCGTTTCAGGAATTTGAATAAGGCGAAAAGGAATAGAAGGAAGGTTGAAACAAGGGTGCAGGATTGAAATTGAGGCTCCATGACTACAAGGGACTTACACCATTCCATATATAGCCCTATTTATGAAACAAACTGAAGCTCTTAAAGCAACTTTCGGAGAAACTGAAGCTCCATGGTGCGACTATCCAATAAAACAAAGATACATATTGTTTTTCATTAATAAAAACATTAAAATTAACTTAACTTACTGATTTCAAGACTATTTTTTTTCCTTTAAACAAAATCTTGATATATATTTTTATTTTTTTAAATTGTTGAGATAATTATTTATGAAAAATACTTCCTCTTTACGGATAAAACTTGACCGATATCATTCAACAAGGTTCAAACTTTTAAGAAATGTGTACCCTTGCAAGAGAGACAAATAAAATGATATTTTTTACCTTATAAAACTATCAATTATTTCATGCAGTTAGGGGAGCTCCATCTATTTTATCTGTAACACATTTAAAATAAAAAGTAAAAGTACTAAATACGCTTTAAACATTTTTGATGCATGTCTCCTCTTACTTTCACAAACACATTTAAAATCATCTGATACATAGACATGTCAAAAATCTATGTATTTTATAAGATTTTTGTCGATGCGTGATTTTAACACCAACGACTTCGTACGTGTAAAATGCTAAGAGCTCACACATAAGCTGATTATAGTGAATGAGTGAGGTACTGTTTGCACAGTAGCATGCAAAGACGTAAAAAATAAAGGAGACAATAAGATTTTTATAGTGGTTCAAATGCTTAAAGTGAATCATACTTCCACTGCGTTCTTTTATATTAATCTGTTCGTGGTTGTTAAATAGGATTATAAGAGGTTGCGAACAACAATCTAGTATTACAAGTGCTTGGTGTTCTAAGTGTTCTTAAAGAATGTCAAGCCAGTCTCTTTCAGGTAGTGTGTCTTTGCTATTTTCTTTGTTGAATTCAAGGGTGTTTGATCCCGTTTTTATAAGGGGGAACGACGTATTTATACCTACTGTGGTCAAGGTAATGATTACACTTTTACAAGTGGCCTGATGCCGTGAAGATCTCTCCTACCCTTCCATTTGTTGAGAACTCAAAGAATATCCTTAAGTTTAATGGGGCTTGGATAAGTGTGCGAACCAAATTCCTTCATAGACAAATTCTTGAGTCAGTTGGGTTGTTGATAGCTATATTCCATTCATCTTTGGAGACGTGGCATGTTCTAGTCCGTGAAATGCTTTCTTGAATTCTGATTTGTGATTGATGACATCAGTATAGGTCAGCCCTTATTTTAGGCATAAAAAGTGTCAGCGTTTGAGCTGGAAGGAAGGCAAAAGAGGCAGAACGCTGCCGAATATGCCAATGGATGGAAGCTTGACAAAGTAGCAGAAACATTGTTAAAGAATGTCAAGAAAAGAGATAATGAAAGCCTATAATTTTTGTGTATTGTAATGAGTACATCAACCAATTTATATAGTGGCTTTGAATACAATAAAGGCAATGAAATAATATAGTAAAGGAAATGTAATAAAGTCTTAATTACAAAATCAATCAAATAATTGTAAATCAATAATTGCTTGATTCCAGCATGAATATCTTCAGCATTCCATATTTCATCACTCTCCCTCAAGTTGGTGTGTTGTAGATGTCGAAAACCCTAAGCTTGTGTAGTAAATAAAAATGCTGACGACTACATAAAGGCTTCGTGAAAATATCTACTGGTTGTTCCGAGGTTTGTATGTGCATGGTCTTGATAATCCCTTCCTGAATTTTCTTCCTAATGAAATGACAGTCAATTTCTATATGTTTGGTTCTTTCATGGAAAATTGGATTTGCTTTGATATCATTGGCAACTTTGTTATCGCAATATAAAGTGGCTGGTTTTCCTATTTGCACTCCTAAATCTTTGAATAATCCAAGAATCTAGACAATCTCACAAGTTGTTTTTGTCATCGCTCTATATTCTGCTTCAACTGAGGAAAGTGATATTGTTTATTGCCTTTTCGTTTTCCATGATATAAGGGATCCTCTAATTTTAATGCAAAATCCTGTAAGAGACTTTCTAGTCATATGATAAGAACCCCAATCTGAATTGCAGTATGTTGTGATGTCGAAATTCCCATCTTGAGGTAAAAGGATTCCTAATCCAGGACATTAAGTACCTTGATCGCTGCATCCATATGAGATTGTTTTGGCCCATGCATGAACTGATTTAGTATATGGACTGCATAACTTATGTCAGGCCTTGTCATGGTGAGATAGATGAGTCTCCCTATGAGTCTCTGATAATGAGATGGGTCTTGTAACAGAGGATCATTTTCTGAAGAGGCTGTCTCATGGTCATATTGCTAGGATGTGAGTTTGATGTTTTGTTCCACAAGAATGATGTTAGGTTTGCATGCTGATAAACCAGAATCGGACACAAGTTCTAAAACATATTTCCTTTGACTTAGAGAAATACCTGTCGGGGAGCATGCAATCTCAATGCCCAAGAAATATTTTGGTTCCCCCAGATCTTTTATACGAAAATGTTTATTGAGATGCTCTTTCAGGGTACGAATGCCATCCTTATTGTTCCTACTAATTAGAATATCATCAACATAAATAATAAGAGTAGTGAAGGCGGTACCTTTGTGCCATGTGAAAAGAGAGTAGTCATGCTTGGATTGAGTGAATCCTATGTTTATTAGAGCCTTTGTGAATTTTGCGTTTCATTGATGGGATGCTTGCTTCAAACCATACAAGGACTTGCATAGACGACATACCATATTCTCCCCCTGTCTATGAAGCCCAGGAGGAAGATCCATGTAGATTTCTTCATGAAGATCTCCATGAAGAAAGGCATTATGGACTTCTATTTGATGAAAGGGCCAGTCACGTATGACAGTAATGGACAAGAAGGCTCGAACAGTAACATGTTTGGCCACTAAGGAAAATGTGTCTTGGTAATCAAAACCTTTTCTTTGGGTGATAGCAACGAGACGAGCCTTGTATTGTTTGATGGATCCATCAGCACGGTGCTTGATCTTGTAAACCCATTTGCAACCAACAGGTTGATCTTGAAGGGGCAGTAATGGACAAGAAGGCCCAAACAGTAACATGTTTAGCCACTGGGGAAAAGGTGCCTTGGTAATCAAAACCTTTTCTCTAGGTGATAACAATGAGACAAGCCTTGTATTGTTTGATGGATCCATCAGTATGGTGCTTGATCTTGTAAACCCATTTGCAACCAACAGGTTTCCTGTGAGAAGGGTGTGGAACAAGATCCCATGTATGATTCTAAGAGAGAGCACTAAGTTCATCGGCCATGGGCTAGTGCCAATGTGTATAGGGAACAATATCAGAGTAGCAGGAAGGCTCTTACTGGGCGAAAATCTAACTGATACAAATCCTGTGGGTAGGGGACAGTCTATCATAAGTAACATAGTTGGAAGCAGGGTAAGTAGTACCTGTAGGAGTCTGAATGGTCGGGCAGACATAATCTTTTGTTGAAAGAGGTGGGCGGGTGGCCCTTGTGGAACGTCTCTGAGGAGGAATAGGAACAATAAGATTATTATCTAGTGGAGGCGGATTGGGAAGCTGGTTCTTTGGAGAAGGATCAACAGATGTGGAAACTGGTTTTGAGGTCGACATAGAGGGTCCCATATCATGAATGGGATGCATGGTATAATAGGGTCCTGACAGATCAGCTACTAAAGGATCTTCCAAAAAAGGTGGAGACTACGAAGATTCATTATAAGGGGACCTGTCTTAAAATGGAAATGAGTCTTCATGAAAAACCACATCCCTAGAAACCAAGAATTTTCCCGAGGTGATATCATATAGTTGATAACCTTTCTGATGCATTGGGTAATCCATAAAAACACATGAAGTAGCCCCAGGAGAAAATTGATCATGCCCCCTTAAATTTGTAGAGTAGCATAAACACCCAAATACTCAGAGATGATTGATTTTAAGTGGTTTACCAAAAAGAAGTTCATAGGGTGTCTTGCCAGCCAAAACTCGACTTGGCATTAGATTGATCAGGTAGGTGGCCGTGACCACACATTCGCCCCAAAGGGTGGTAAGGATGTTGGCTTGGTGTTTTAGGGCACAAGCGACCTCTAGAAGATGTCGATGTTTCCGTTCAACTATGTCATTCTGTTGAGGGGTATAGACACGAGAGCTTTCATGGATAATACCAAGAAAGGAAAACATGATTGAACGTTATAGTGTTAAAATAATCCCTAGCATTATCAGTTTGAATTCTTTGAACCGAAAAATCAAATTGGGTTTTAACCATAGACAAAAAATGTTTGATGTGAGTGAGTGTTTGTGTTTTAGATTGCATGAGGTAGACCCAGGTTCCCCAAGAGTAATCATCAATGATGGTGAGAAAAAATCTAGAGCCATCGTGATTAGCTGTGTGATATGGACCCGATATGTCCATATGAACTAAGGAAAAATTACAGGTGGTGGAAGGCGTGTGTTTGGGAAATTTTATGCGGAACTGTTTTGCAAGAGGACAAATAGGACAATTTGGTTAAGGAATAGATGCACTATGACCCAGATGTTGATGTAAAATAAAAGAAGTGTTATTAATGTTTGTAGTATAAAATGGATCTTTTATTTTTAGTAATACAAGACATTGAGTTTTTAGCATCAGAGGCACCTATCCAATAATAAAGACCTTGGTGAACTTTACCCGAGCCCATCATATTCCTAGCCAAATAGTCCTAAAACTCACATTTGTTAGGAAAGAATTTTAAGACACATACATTATCTTGACATAGTTTAGTACAGAGATGAGGTTGAAACGGAAAGCAGGAACAAACAAGACATTATGAAGGATTAAATGTTTATTTAGATTGACAGTTCCTAATTGAGTGGCTGGTGCATGTGTACCATTTGGCATGCGAACTGATGTGTAGGGTATAGGGGATGTGTGGGAAAAATGTTGGGGATCGCAAACAATGTGGTCACTAGCCCCTGAGTCCATTATCCAAAAATTTTCTTTTGTAATATTGGAACAAAAAGATGTACCTGCGTAGGATGTTGTATTGGCCTGCGGACTTTGATTTAGCATCTAC